CCTGGGTCCCCTCCCTGATAGTCTCTCCTCCCTCTGCCACTGACAGAATACACACCTCCCCGGGACTGTCATTTAACCCACCCTTGGGGTGGCTAGTTCCTCCTGGGACCAGTGTGCAATCACCGTCTGCAGGGGTCCCTTCCACCGCGGCCAATGGTCTGGCTGTCTCCTGGGGATTTTCTAACCACCCCCCTCTTTAGCCTTCCTGCTCTGTAGACGAGTCACTGCATGAACAGTGCAGGGTTTTGGCTCTTGGGTCTGTTCCCACCTCTGGAGCTGGGATTCCTGCGCCATAAGATCCCGTCCCACCAGGATGGGGACCGGAGCCCCTTCCAGTACCCCCATTTCCAGGTATGTTGCACAGTCGTTCCACATGATGGGTGCACAGGTTACCGGTACCGTAAGAGGTGGGGGCCCCACCCCTTGAATAGTAAGGGTCTTCCCCGGGATTATGTTTGCGGGCAAGACAAGGTTGGAACTGATTAATGTCACACTGGACCCCGAGTCCAGTTCCCCCACAAGGGTCCTCTCCTTTACCGTTATCATGGTCCGGTGGGGGGCCATCACCTCCTCTGAGTTAGAACCAGACACTCCCCTCAGAGTGGCTCCGGCCCTCCCCCTCACTGCTCACGGCTGTTGCACGCCTGACGGGCCTGGGTCTATTGCTTAGCTTCAGGCAGTTGGGCTTGATGTGGCCCAGCTCCCCGCAGTTATAGCACCCCCTCTTTTCCGAATTGGGTGGTTTGTCTGAATCTGGGGCCGCCTTGCGCTCTGCAGGAGGTGGCCCTCTTTCCCCTTTTTGACCTGGACCTCCCTTCCTCCCTCTTTGGACCCCTTTTTGTTCCTTCCCACAGTAGGGAGGCTTCTCACGATTTAGCAACAGTTGGTCTGCAATTTCAGCAGCCTCTTGAGCGTTTTTGGGGTCCCTGTCCCTGACCAGAGTCTTAACCTCTCTCAGACAGCAAAAATAGAATTGTTCTGGCACCATGAGCTGGCGTGACTTTTCTAAAGTGTCAACCTTGGCTTCAGCTAACCATTTAATGTATGTGTCCTCCAGCAGGGCCACATAATCAGTCAATGACTTCCCAGGTTGTGGGCGTGTATTCCGGAATTTTTTCCAAAAATAATCCGGTCCTAACTTGAACCTTTTAGACACAGCAGCTTTAAAGGCATTATAGTCATCAGCTGCATCTGAGGGCAGGCTGTTCAGGACCACCGCCATGTCGCCTTCTACCAGAGCAGACAAGTACATCATGAGCTTTTCCTCCGGCACCTTACACCGCTGGGCTTGTCTTTCAAAGTTGCTTAGGAACGCTGCAGGATTGTCTCCGTCTCGGTAGCGAGCGAAGGCTGAGACGTCCAGTTTGTGGTGTTCCCCGGACGCTTGCAGAGTGTTCACGTTTCCCCTGTTGGTCTGCAGACAGAGCTGAGCCTCCAGCTTTTTCTCCTCCAGCTCCAGCTTTTTTGCCTCAAGTTGGGCTTCCATCTCCATCCTTTTCACTTCTAGCTGTCGTTGTTCCCGTTCCTTCTCCCGCTGGGCTTCCAGCTTTTTTGCCTCCATCTCCATCCTCTTCTCCTCCAGCTGCAGCCTTTTCAGCTCTAGCTCACGGAGGCTTTGCCGCTCCCCCTCAGAGGGTGATCTCTTGGCGGCCTCCGGACTTGACGAGTGGGAGTGTGTTCCTGGGTCAGACTCAGGAGTTGATGAGCGTGAAGCTGACACTTGTTCTGACTCGCTGGTGCACAAGAGTTTAACCAGCTCTTCCTTCTTTAGCCCTTTCTTCACGTGAAGGCCTCTCTCTTTTGCCAGTACTTTCAGTTCAGGCACGGTCATCCGGACGTACTCATCCGCCATCCTGACTATCTACCCTATCCAGTTGACCCAATGCCAAATTAGAAATTGTTTGCTCAAGGGATTTCAGTAACTCTATTCCTTTTCCCAAGTTATGCCTCAAATACAACAGGGTATTCGGATCCCACCTCTGCCACCACGTGTGACGGGCCAGTAGGGGGGCGCTCCTGCGTTGAGCCGCCCACCTCACTGCGCCTGCCCACCTTCCAGGCTCCGAGTGCCTCCCTGGGGTGACCTCATGTCTGGCCGACCCCCTTCCTGGAGCACACCTGCTAGCCTGGGAGTAACACTGCCACCACCCAGGGTCTGGACTGTTCCCGGCCATGTGCCCCATGGGAAAGACAGGCCTAGTAGTCCTTCGGGGTACTAGACACACTCCAAACTTGGGGCACTTCCCCCAAGTCAGGGGCTTAATAGGAAAGTCTCCCTTAGTCCACAGACCTAAGGGGCGTCCTTGGCATAATTTAGACCCACCCTCAATAAGTCTCCCACACTGGTCACAAGGAGAATTTTACTGATTACAGGGGGTAGGGCGAAAACAGGGTAAAAGGTAGAGCGGTAACATAGAAATATCAGAGGCATATCAGAGGAATCCCATAGAGCAAACCAGTGTGGCTGAGGTAGCCTTTTGATCTCGCATCTGAGTTACTGTAAGCTAAATATCTAGTCGGCTCTTGAGTAGCTAACTCACACGCATCATCCAGAGGTGATTGGAGTTTTCCTCTGGAGGCAGGGCACTCTTGGAGCATGCGGTGATGAGGAGAGAGCCAGTTTCAGATTCACCTGGGTGACCGCATGGCTAATGGCTCCCCTTCTTCCTGGCCCAGGCCTTTAAATAACCTTTCTGACCTCAGCAGCCCGGTCCAATCGAAGCTGCCAGTGCTGGCCACTAGCCAACCAATTAAAAAAAGCATCACTGGCTACCTGGGCCGGTGAGTGGGACTTTTCCCTCCCCCTCCCCAGGTGACCAGAGAATCCGCCTCCGAGGCACCAGGCTTTTGTCATGTAGACAGGGAGGAAGATCCCCCGCCCTGAGGGATTCAACACCAGCCTCTCACGCTGGCAGAGACAGATTTCTGGAGAGCGACACAGACGGTGGCCTTTCTGCTACAGTCACTGATATTCCTCCAAGAACTCCTATGAGACTGTCCCCGGTAGAGACAGGTCCTGCAAGAGATTCTGCAGGACATTAGCTCTCTAAGGTCTCCACATGGGAGCTGTGTGACTGTCTGCTGAGCTAGACATGCATATCTTACTGCTTTTATGATAGATTTTCCCTGTAAAGCTCTTAGTTTAATAACCAGTTATTTTCTTTATGAGAGCGGGCTGGTCACTGATTAACCCTGCCATTGCCCCGAGAGAACAGGATTGCAGGTGCTGCACTAATGTCAGACCTGCGGGGAGGATGACAGTGAATTGTTAGAAGCTAGTCTGTAACCCAAGCCTCCAGTTTGGAAGCAGAAGGATGTAGATGCTTTTCCTGAGAGAAGTGACAACTGGAGTGAGGTGCCCTCGGGGAGAACAGAACTGATCAGAGGTGCAGTTATCCTGAGTACTGTGACAGTGAGAAATGCCATAGAAAAGTACGTCAATAAACTTCTGGTTATATTGTGTCTCTGTTGCAGATGAAGCCATTTGTCAAGTCATAGGTCAAAAGAACTTTTTTGATGCTTGTAATCATATTTTTGATCTGGAACAATCTAAGACTGTGGATAAAGCTAAGATTGATGCACTTTACAACAAACTAGAAGAGAGAATGTGGGAAGTTGTGAAAACAGCAGTTCAGAGTGGTGATGGTGTGTTACTAGAGCCCCTGAAATCAGTAGCTGCCTCACTGGAGTGGCAGAAACAGAAAAAAAAAGAACAGTTTGATAGTAACAATGAAATGGAAGGCACTTCAACCTGGAGACCAAAATACTGGAATAAAGATCTGGCGAATCTGTTAATAGACTGCATGGCAGCACAGTTCCCCTCCGCTGAATTTGCCATTAGCACAGATGAGATGGCACTAAAAAAACATCTGAAGCAACTGGAAACCACAGTTCTTCCCACCTTGGAATGCAGAAGAGCTTTCTTCAAAGAAGCAGGATTGCTCACCATCTACAGGAAATGCTGTAATGTCTGCTTATCTTCTCACCTTACCACACTTATAGACTGTGACTTTAACTTCAGCACATGTCTTTTAGTTTATGAATGGGGCCTTAACATGTGCAAAAGGTATGTTCTAATCCAAACATCTCCTCTTTGTTTTTAGACCTCTCAGTCTTTCTTTCCTCATTTCTAAACATGGTCTCTATGTAGCTTCAACCTGGCAATACTGGGACCATGAAGAAAATCAACTACTCCCCCCAAATTAGCTTTGTTCAATGTTTATTTTAATCTCTCCTAAGTGGTTAGATAAAATTGAGGGCTTTACAGATTGTTCTTTATCAGGAGAAGAAATGAATGGTATCAGGTACTGCTTTATTGCAGTCCTGTTTATTTACAGAAAATGGACATGAGGTCCTGTGTCCTTGGACACAGTCTCTTCTTTGCTCACAATTGCAGGTCATTTCCCCCAAAAAACCACTCTGCCCAAAAACATTTCAGGTTGGCTTTCACTTCTTGTTTTGCCTCTAGTGCTTTTCTTTCTGTCCCTTTCGTTTTCTTGCTGGCTCCTCTGTCTTCTTCTGGCTCATCACAGGCAGAAGGTGGTGTGCTCCATCTTAGAGTGGAATAATCATCACCATTTTCATTGCTTTGTTCTGCATCCCTCTAGTTTGTCTCCTTCCAGGTAGTTCCCGTTATTGATCAAAGCATTATACAGGTGCTTTCTTTAGCAGGGGCAGTACTTCTTCCTCTTCAGTGGTGAATGGCACAATGTCTTCAATAATAGAGTTTCTGCGCTTGCCTTCAGCACACTGGTAATGGATGCAGTTCCTTCAACATACCTAGAACCCCCTCCTATCTATTGGGGCTGCTTCAGTTATCCTCATTACCAGAGTATCATCATGCCTCACACTAATTAATGTGCTTCTCACAACAACCTGTTGAAGTAGGGGAATGCTGCAGAAAGAATTGAGGACAGGCACGGGGGGCATCAGGAAAATGAGGTGGTAATTAGGAAATAGGGAAAAAGGGGCAAAGAAAGGTGGTAGGCTTGGGAGGGTGTGAACAATCATTATTCTTGTACAAGTTGTTTCCTAGCTGAGAGACTTGGGGTGTTCTGTGCCCACAATTAGCCAGTTTTGCTCAGCATGCCCCAAAATTGACCTGAGCCAAGCTACATAAGGCAGATAAGGTCTGAACTGTGATGGGATAGGGCACAAAGCTGCTGGAAATGGCCATGCCTGTTGAGCTCTGCTTTTTTTGTGTGCAGTTGCAGTGAGAAGCTTCTGCAACCCAGTTGGACTCTGGAGCAGAAGGTCTCCGTGGAGGCCTTGTGTCTTGTGCGGATTTTTTCAAATCTGGAGGAAAAACTACTTGCAGCTGCAAAGGTAAGAGCGCACAGTTTTAACAAACTTCATCGTTACCCCACACCCACCTTCCTTAATTATACGCTGTTTTTTTTGGTATGACTCGTGCATAGAAAAGGTCAGCGAGTCTTGCCCAGCTGGCTCTGAATTGACTCTGCTCTGTAGCCTATTTCTTTAGGAGAGTAATGAAAATGTTCAACCCAGAGAATGAAGTGAGTGGTGCTGGAGCCCTCGGTGTGGTTCTTGGCACACACATGCCCAGGTTACCCAACCCCATATCATTATTGCATTGGCTGTTTCTGTAAAGAAGCCAAGAACTGAAGGCCCATGGACAATGATTAATTTGCTTCCATTTACTGGGCAAGGCCATGTTCTTCTGGCATGTTGGCAGGGAAATGCTAGAAAGCTTACAGTGCCTCGCATCATCCTAGTGCTGCATGAGCTATGCTCTGGGAAAATCCATTTCACTTACATAATACCAGAGGACTGATGGTACAGAGATAAGGGGGGAATGAAATGCACTGCCGAAATTCCAGGAATTGTATGAGGACATTAATTGGACTATAGTCTGGTGTAGTGGCTGCCATCCCTTTCAACATGTCATTCAGACTAGTGAGGCCACTGGATCTTAGTAGCAGTGGGTCTGTGGATCCTCGCACAATTCACTTCCAGCCTGCTCCCAGAGTAGTCTTCCTTCCACACTAATCCAGCGGGGCTGGCATAGACACCCCCAGTAGAACATACAGGGTCATGCAGATGCCCATCCCCTTGCATAGTTTCTACAGAAGGGTTCAGTGTGGCTGAAGGCCTTGGGATGCATACATGACCTTAGTTTCCAAAGCTGGTAGAAAGCTCTTTGAAGGATGCTCTGTTTATGTGTGGCTTACAAATGAATTAGAATTGTCTGACTGAAGCTTCAGCATGAGGGGTTTTCCACTGGCAGTGATGAGACCAATGTCTCCAAATCCAGCAGCTCTTTTTAATGCAGCTAAACCCCCAAAGCAGCACCACGGGCATTTCCCTGGCTTTGGAAAGGCTTTCACTTTCTATTGCTATTTCTCAGCTGCTCTCAAACCACACCCGCTGACAACCTGTCCTTAGAGGGATAGGGAAAATCTATTACGTACAATAAGATGAACCAAAAACTGAGGAGTTTTGTAGGTTCTCGTACGTCCCTCAGGAATTCAGAAAGGAAAAGGTATATTTAGTCAGATCCATACTTGTGTAGGCCCCAGCTTTGGAAAGTACTTAAACTTGGGGTTGAGTCTTATTGATTTCAGTACTTAAAGGTAAGCACATGCTTATTTGCTTTTGTGAGTCTGGACCACACGGAAAAACACATATCTTCAGGTTCTCTTTTCTGTCTCTATTTCAGAAGAAGAAGTGGCTATAATCACACTAGGCTCAGTAACCATCTGTTCATGTATGAGTCACTACCAAACCATCACATATAATAGTCATTGTGAAATTAGCCTCTTTTTCTTTTGTAAAATGACTGTATGTCAGGATACATGAACAAGCTTATGAATTCTTCTTTGAAGATAGCTTTCTCATGGTGTCTGACTGGGCTTGTAAGTCGCATGGCACTCTGTTCGTTCCTGAAGTGGACAACTAGAATGGCCCAAATAGAAGAATAGCCTTAGCGAATAAAGAATATTCTCCTGAACACCCTCGTCTGCTGTGATGAGGATTGCCCTTTATTTCTGCAAATATAAAACTGCTTGCTTGAACATTTACTAGTAGTGAGAGGTACACTCAATTCAAATAGACATTCATGGGTTGAATCCTAAACATAGTTTGCTGCATTCAGAAAAGCTCTGGTCTTCAATCTCATCTCCCTAGGATGAGCACTGGTATCACTAGCTTGAATGTGTTTGTTGCTGGGTGGAGCACAATTGGGGTGCTCACCATTTAGTGTGGGCTGCAGCAGGCTGGAGAGGTGCTTGCATGGAGGGAGGCCTGGAGACACCCATGAGGAGTCATTTTTAAGGGGGAAGGTGTGTGGTGGAGCACCAGCGGGGAGCTCACCACTGAAGGGCTGTTGCAGGCTCTGAGTGAGCCTGCTTTGTGAGCAGCAGGGAAGAGCCTTCCCCCAGGAACCAATTTTAAGGGAGAAAGTGGGTGGCTGAGCACCTTCGGAGTCTGCCACTTTAAGGAAGAGAGCAGGCAGCAGGCAGGTGCAGGCTAGCCCTGATGAAGTAGCCATTTGAAGATCCTGGCTCTCAGGGCTGATGCAGTAGTCTGCTGCTAGCAGCTGACTGCCCTGCTACTCAAGGAACATCTTGGAGGTAATGGCAGGACCTATGGGGATGGCTGGAAGCTCCTGGTCCTGGGTATGACTGTAAACCGCACCCTGCTGGGGATGGGTGGCTTGGTGGGACTATCTGTGATGGGACAGTCCCCCAAAAATGCCAGTCTAGTTAGCACCCTGGTGAGAGGTGAGTAGGGGCGCCTGAAAACCTCAGCCATTGCCAATAGGTAGGTTCTTAAGACTGGAGAGTAGTGGGGTTAGGCACACCTGTGTGAGTGGCACCTGAGCCCGGAGGGGTGCAAGACCCTAGAGACTAGTGGGGCCAGGCATGCCTGTGTGAATGGCACCTGAGCCCATTGGGGTGCAAGACCCTGGAGCCCCAGAGAGTGGTAATTGTCGAATTAAGGCCCAGAGAGCGGTGAAAGTGCAGGTCCAGGTAAGTCTTTGGATGCCTGAGGCCTCATGTGGACCTGATGCCAAATAGGCAGCATAGAAAGAGCTGTGGATAAAAGGGGTGAGAATAGGTTCCAATTAGTGAACCGGTGAATTGATTTACCCAGTGCAGGGCTAGGAGCAGTCAGCCCAGTGTTTAGCAAATTGCCCAGCCACCGTGTAGATGAGGGTTGGGGGACAGGCTCAAAAGGCTATGCCAGGGATGGTCAAGGAGTGCAGAGACAAGCCTAATGGCCTGTATGGTCGCTCAAAGGTGCAGGGTGGAGTGAATGTGGCCTGGTAAGGGGCAAGAGTGTGAGAGGCCTGGTGAGAGCAGGCGGAGTGGTAGAGGCCCCAGTGAGAGGGGCGCAGTATGTGTGAGGCCCTGAATAGGGCAGCGCGAGAAAGGCTTAACACTGTGCCGAGCTGGGCCCGGCCTCAGTCTGGAGCATAGCACAACTCACGAATGTCATCTGCGAGGCATAGGACATGATAAAAGGGGTACCGTCCATGAACAGCAGGGCGCACAAAGGGCAGCCTCCCACCTCATTAACATCTTATTACATGTAACATCTAATTTACAACAAGGCATGGCAGACAAGTAAGGTGGGTGGCCTTCCCAAAGACAAGTGGTGGGCTGGTACTGTGACCAGACCTGAGAGTTTGCCCCTGTCACAGTTGCCCTCTTTAGTGGAGGTCAGACATATGCAGGTATTGGTGTTCCTGTGGCCCCAGTGTCAGGATTTCATTCCAAAGTTGCATGCAGTGGTGGGGACATGGAGCTGGGGAAACCCATCAGAAACTGAAAGAAGTAGTTTTAAAACTTAAAAATGGGAAATCAACTCCCTTCCTCTGGTGTTGGGGATTGCCATTTAATAGCTGACCTTGCCTCTGATGGAGTATATGGCCTGCTCTTGCCAGTCTCTAGCCATTTCCCCATCATGCACAGGCATGTCTTCACTGTAATGGTAGTCTGAGGTGTTGTTTCTAACGTGTCTGTCTGTCTGTCTGTCTCTCCTCTGACTTGCTATGGCTGGCCCATTTGTAGGGCTGGTGGCAATTGCAGCCTAAGTACTGCTGCTGTTGAAGCAGTGGGGACACAGCTAGCTGTGCTCCTGATCCAAAATTTTTGTGTAGCTTCAGTGTTTTGTGGGGGGTAATCACTGCCTCTAGCTAAGTTAAGCTGAGAGAGGTTAACTCAAGTGCAGAGAACTCAAGCTACCAGTGCAGTGAGGACAAGCCCATAGACTGTAGACTCCAAACACATGGTATATGTATGTGTGTGTGTGTGTCTATACATACACACATGCACAGAGAGAGAGAGAGATCTCAAACAGAACAATGTTCTTATGACAGTTGTATGTTGTCCAGCTTTATGTTAAAAAGGACTAGACAAGGAATAGTTAGAGACCAAAGGTCTTCCAGTCCAGTGGGGTGGTGGGAGTGGTGGAAACTTGACACACAAATGGCTTCTGATTTTAAACGCTTTCAATATATTCTTTTATGCAGGAGGAAGTAAGAGAAGCACTGAAAGAAACCATTACTCCCAGGAAAAAACTGGTCACAGACACTACAGTTGTTAAGGTAAATTGAAGGCTGAACCCAACACCTCACATTTCTTCTAGCATAACTGTTGTTACAAGCACAATTGTGAAAATTTGGTGTGCTCCAATTGTATAGGATCTAGGCAAAAATCTGCTCTGTCACACACCAGAAATCCTATTGATTCCAGCTAAGTGGCCGCTAGGCCTCCACGAACAGGGAAGTATTTGATTTGGATTCAACTGATTCAGAGGACAGTGATTTGATTCAGAGATTTGGATCACTGTCCTGAATTGATTCAGCTAAATCAGCTTTGGAAGGTTCAGCGTTGATTCAGACAGATTCGGTGATTCAGATCAGTTGGGGAGAGGCAGGCACAGCCGGGCAGCTCCTCTGATTGTGCCTGCCTTTCCCTGGGTGGGGGGAGCTGCAGGAGAAGCCCCCATGGCTGTCCTGCCCAGCCCCATCCCTCACCTGGCCCCAGCCTCCTGGCACTTAAAAGCCCTGCACTCACCAGCTCTGGCAGCAGCAATTGGGTCCTCTGGGCTCTCGTGGCAGAGCCCCCCCATGCAACACAGGCAGTGGGGGACAGTGGAGATCACCTCTTCCTGCCTGGCACCCACACAGCAGCTGCCTCATGGCATGGGTGCTGCGTGGCACCACAGGGCACCATGTGCTGTCTGGGAGCTGAGGCCACTGGGGCTGAGTGAGTAATATGCTCTCCTGCCCCACCAGCCCCAGCCCCAATCCCTCCCTCTCCCAATCCCTTCCCTTCCCTTCTCCCTCCTCCAACCCCAACAGACTTACCAGCTGGAGGCAGCTGTCAGCTGCCTGTTTAGTCTATGGGTGAATCTCTGAATTGGCCAAATCTTTTCCGAAATTTTTCTGAATCAATTCGGATGCTTCAAATCAATTCGGAGCTTTTACTTGGTCTCTCAATTCGATTTGGATTTGGAGATTCAGTCCCTGAATCGGGCAGAATATTCTGAATTGAATCGACTACCGAAGCTTTGCACAGCCCTAGTGGTGGCTCCATAACTGAGATCAGTTTTCCCTCTTGCGTATATAACAGAAGAAAGAGATCAAGTTCCCCGTGTCTTGTATCATGAGTAATAGCCTGATCTCACTCCCCATGATGTCACTGAGAGGTTTGGACTGAGGATCACACTGGGAATGCTGGAACTACTGCTGCATGAAATATAAATGTTTTTATACCATGCAGCATATGGGTATAGAGAAGATTTTCCAAGCATAGCACCTACTTGGCAATTGCTTGCATCCTGTTCCCTGCATGTTGTGTACAAGTTGAGAGTAAACTGGTCCATATGCTATTTCTGCTCGCATGGTAACACTGCAGGTGGCATTATGTTCCAAAAACACCACTACAGGTGATTTGCCTGGAAACATATGGAGAGCCAGTGTGAAGTGCTTTGAGAAATAGTTTTATTTTAGTCAGTGTCTTGTGCTGCATTTACAGTGGGATTTTCCTCCAGTTCCCTAGAAGAAGGCAGTGTAGTTCTAACAAGCCTGCTTGGCCTGAGTTCTACATTGCAGTGTGATGGCCATATCTCCTGGATAATAAGAGGGCTGGATATATCAAAGGCCTTGCAAATTCTTACTGAGGTGGACATGGAAATCATGGCATATTGCACAGTGATATATAACTGTCAGTTAACAGCAGAGACTATTTCAGTGCACAGTGTGTGTGCACTACAAAGGAGTGGTCTGAAAGGGGCAGGAGCAGAATGATAATCACAGAGCAGGCTATGCTGATTTCTGAGCTATAAGCCAGAAGAAAGAACAAGGGCCAGTGTTCGGCTCTAAATCCTTATTGGGCCTCAAATAGGCCTTGAAGTTTGGACTTGAACTAAGAGATGCTGAAATAACAAGCAACTGGGCTGAGTACAGGGTGAAGTGTAAAGGACTGATATGCAAGAGGACTGACTAGATGAGTGATTCTCACCCAGGGTGCCGTGAGATCCTTTTGAGAGTGCCACAGGATGATGCACACTTAACATTAGCGTGGTTAGGTGTGCAAACCTACACACAATTCACATGTTAAAGCTCTCTGCAACAGGAGAATTGCTCTAGTATTTATCTTTAGTTAAGCAACAAGTAAAAACTAAGAGCTGGCATTTTTTAAAGGGAGACTGGAGTCTAATGAGGGGTGCCTTGAATTTAACAAAGTGAAAAAAACGATTGGACTGGATCATAGAATCTATGCAAGCTGTAAAGCTCTAGTATGTCCTCAAGTCCTCCCTGGGGAGATGTAGCTTATACTGGCAAAATAATTCTTTCTAGTTCCCCGATTGAAATAAGTTATACTGACAAAACTGCTGTTTTACTGGCGTAACTGCATTCACATTTAGTTTCTTGCCAGTTTAGCTGTTGGTTAGAGATGTGATTTTTCACAGTGCTAACTGCCAGAAATAGGCCAGCAAAACTGTAAGTGTTGAGTAGGCCCAAAACTCTTTTGAATGATACGTAGTACAGACTGTCTTGTTCAATCTAAGGTTTTGGTCAGGTTCCAAACTCCAGCAGAATGTGCTTACCTGTCTGCCATCCCCACAAATTAACAAAGGTATTGTTTACTTCCTGTCCTAATCTGATGCACAGTGCCGTAGTATTCTGGCCAACTGCAGCCATATCTGGCTGAATTTCAGTGGTGGTTGTCATGATAGCAACATCTAGCTGATTATGTTTGAAAGTACTTCGGAATGGATTATATTTGATGAAAAATCCTATATAAATATATGATCCTTATGCAAATATTACCTATGAAAATTAGTTGCTCATCAGCAACACTCATGACCCCCAGCTCACATTCTCAATGTGTTTCCTGCATCGCCTTTTCTGAACTGAGATATTTATTGTGACTAGTCCATAGGAAGTCCCACCCTGTGTGAGTCATTTTCCCTCTGATGCTGCTGGGAGCATTGGTAAAGCATAGGATATTATTCCATCTGTCTATTTTTTCCCATCTGGTCCCCTTCTCCAAAAAGGTTTCATTTCCACAGAGCAGCTCAGGTGGTGTTAAGTTACCACCTGTTCAATTTGATCTAAACTGAAATTGGTGTTTACCCTTCTGGTGTGAAGGAGCAAAGTGCACAGCTTAGCCATCTATCTGACCAGATAAGCTTGACCAGACTGTGGTGACCCTAGCAGTTTAGGCCAGACCCATTGCTGACTGCCACCATCATGAAATACATGCATGGTTGGATCTAACATTTTGAAAGGGGGGGCAGGGTGCAGATGATGAGGTGCATCATCACATGTAAAAGTAACACATTTTTCTCCAGTTAACTAGAAGCTATACACTAGGGCTGGATTATTCAGTTTAAGATTGAAGCAAAAAACAAATATAACTTCTTTGCAATGAGTTTGAAACAATCTGCAGGACTGAAATAGGAGCTTCATTACTAGAAGCTGCTAACAGACAGCAGAATTACAGAACAAAGGATAACATGATTGGTAGAACACCAAGACCATTAAAAAAGAGAGGGTTGTAGAATGAGGAGTTTAGAAGGGATCAGGTAGATAATAATGAGCCATGAAGTCAAGTGACTCCCTCAGTGCTGCCTGACTAGAAATGCTGTTGCCACTTCCAGGCAGTTGGTTTTAAACCTTGGGTGGAGTAGTGTAACACGGACCCTAGGGCTTCTGGTACTTCGAGGGAGAAACAGCAGCAGAGAGAGCCTCAGGTGAGGATGGCTGCTCAGTATGAGCAGCTCCCTTGGGATTTATAGGCTATGAGTGCCTATTGCAGGGCTGGCTGCTCTGCAATAGTATAACAGGGTAGATCCCTGCATAGGAAGCAGGACACTGCTACAGCAGTTTGGCAGAAGCAGTAAGCTGCTCCGGAACCCAAGAAATAAGCCAACAAGCCTAAGTAGAAGATACCTGTATATAGCTGGGGAAGCCACATGACCAGAAAGGGGCAGGGTCTATGCGGCACATAAGCCCAGAGCCTGATTCAGGATGGCCAGTTTAGCCCTGGAGCCTGAAAGGGGAAGAGCTGTCCAGAGAGATGGCTGTGACTGAGATCTGGCTATACCTGAGAGCAATGAGTAAGGAGCTGAGGTTCTGGCAGGGGATGAGTAGGGGTTGTGGTATACAGCCACTAGGCTAAGAGTTTAGTTATAGCCAAAGGGTTTATGCCTTTTATTTAAACCAGCAGTTTGGGTTGGGACTATCAGGGGTAAGAGGAGATCCCAGTAGAGCCAGAGAGGCATTGTGAGGCTTGAGCCTGCTAAGGGGCAAGAAATAAACTGTAGTGTAGCCCAAGCAGGTAAGAACTGGGGCGGGGAGCCC